CGAGACTCGAACCCGCAACCTTTGGGTTACGAGTCTGACTCTCTAACCATTAGGCCACGACTTACCCACAAAACCCCCAAAAAAATGTTTAATGAGAAAAAAAAAGTATGCTTAATATTTCTTATCCATAATGTGAATGCAAATATTTGTCTTATTTTTCTTTTCCTGCCTCAGACCGAGCAGTCGTGCAGGTCCTCCCCCGAATGCTCGAGTCCTGGGTGCTCACCCTCCTCCACCCAGGTCTCTGCCTACAATAGCCCCTGATGCAGGAGATGACACCCTCATGCAGGCCATAATGAACCTGGACCGGGGGTTTGTATTCAGATACGTTAAAAGTAAAATGCCCCATGTTATTCTACTAGGGAACAGATACAGAAAATTTGCGTATCTGTGCTCATCTCTCTCACAGGGAGGAGCGGGACAACTTGAGAAGAAAGGCGCCGTTCCCTCCAGTACGCGAGCGCTCTCCAGCTCGGCGGGACGTTCCCCCTTCCCCTCACAGTCGGTCGGGGTCCAGCATAAGCAGCCGCAGCTACTCACCAGAGCGGGGCAAAGTGCATCCTTTCCCGCCTCAGCAGGGGAAAAGTATGAAAAATCTTCAGTCAAAATGCCTGTTCAATCACTACTTAGTATTTCTTTGGTTTTGATTTATATACACCACTGTTCAAAATTTTGGGGTTAGAATGGAAGTGTATATACTTACTATACACACATGTATAATAATGCGTGATGGAGTTAATAACCTCAACTCAACATTGTTTAATGCCAGTGGTGTTCACAGGTATAGACAGTCTGCCAAACCTGTCTGCATTTCACTTGGAGAAATCTCGTTGGCGGGATCTCCCACACACACAGACTCTAGACGGTACAAAGGGTCAGTGCACAGCTTGAAGTGTAGTCTTTGACTTGACGTGGACTATTTGAAACATGTAAAAGCCTGGTGATTGATTTAAGGGCTTTCTTGACTAATTTGCATGCAAGCACATTTTAATACGCCCAGCTGCAGAGTGGAAAGACCTTCCCTGGTTGCTTTATTTCTTCTATAAACTAGATAAATGTCCTAAATGCTTCCCAGACAGGTTTGATTTGAGTTGTCGTGTTTGAAAATAGACAGGCTTGGACATGACTGTACCCAAGTGTCCACCACAGACCTCCGATCACAGATGATGTCACTCAAAGCCTGTCCTAATAAAGACTCCCATCTGTGTTTGTTTCGCTGTTCTCTGTTACTATAATGAGATCCTCAGTAATAAGCTCCAGAGCGACGCTTCGAGCAGCCAATATTGGATGCACATGTTTTGCGTTGACATACCCCAAGTGAGCGTCCCAAGATTATGCTGCTGTGAAAAGATGAAGCAGGCTTGCATGGGATCATATGCTGTAACCTCTAATACTGATCAAAGAAATGCATCAAAAACATATTGCTCACTAAAAAATACAGTTTTTGTACTGTTTTTTTTTTTTTTTTTGATATACAAAAATGTTTTCCTGTGTTTCAGGATTTGAGGAGCCGTTCGGGCCAGGCAGGGGACCGGGTGAGTAAAACATTGTCATTCTGGGGGCATGTAGATTATTCGGTCATACTAATTATGCATCAGAAAGCCCGCATGAATTAAATTTTGAAAAATGGTCATTTAGTCTATAACAAAATATTTTTTTGCTAAAACGATTGAACATAGCTTAATGGAACTCATGGAGAAAAATTAAATAATATAAATGTTAATCTTTTTACTTAATACCGTAAAGGCAGACATATCACTGTATATAAATAGGTCTTGTATCATCTTGATATAGTTTATTTTGCAACAATGATTGGTTGACTATATTTTTCCAATAATTACATGGCTACTTTCCAAATAAATAAAGTTGGCTACTTTCCAAAGAAAAATAAATAAATTGCATGCAGATAATAGTACTGCTAAAAAGTTTGGTGTTGGTAAAATTAAAATTATTTTTTAAGTAAGTCTCTTATGTGCACCACGGCTGCATTTATTTGATGAAAAATGCAGTAAAGAATTAATATTGTGTAATATTTTTGCTGTATAAAATAAATGTTTTATCGTATATTTTAAAATGTAACTTATTCCCGTGATGGTAAAGCTGAATTTTCAGCAGCTGTTACTCCAGTCTTCATTCTAATGTGCTCTGTTGGTGCTCAAGAAACTTTTCTTAATATTATCAACATTGAAAACAGTTGTGCTGCTCAATGTTTTTGTGTAAACTGATACACTGATTATTTGAATATAAAGTTCAAAATATAAAGCGATATTTATTTAAAATAGCAATCGTTTGTAACATTATAAATGTCTCTACTTTCTTGTTTGATGAATTTAATGCATCCTTGCTGGTTAAAAGTATTAACTTCTTTCAAAAAAAAAACTGCCCAAACTTTTGAATGTTAGTGTACCTAGGTATTCAGTCACCAGGGTACTATTTTATATGAATATTTTGGAAACCAAAACATGAAGAAAAATCATATTCCTCTTAAATCCTGATAAAGAAAGTTTATGGCTCACACACAAGGAGATTTTGTTTCGCTTTGCTTTATAAGTTAAAGGTCAGCCCACAGTCACAGTAACTTGAGAGAAAGCGTTGCTAATCGCACCATCGTAGAGCCTCATTTTGTTTGTCTGCTTTCCTCTCACTTCCTTTGGCCGGGGATCGTAAAAAGTCCACAGGAGTGTGTCTGATTGCTAAACCTTTCCTTTTTCTCTAGCTTTCATCGGTTCCCTTTTTGTTTTTCTTTGCCAGATGTTTGATGTCCATGCATTCGTCGCAAGGAGATTTAGATTGGAATCTTAAATCTGTGTAAATCTAAACATAACTTCTGGTTATAGGCTTCTCTCCGCTCCAAATCAATTTAGCGAGCATTCCTTCATCTCTCGCCGAACGAATCCGTAGGTGTTGAGCCCACAGCTCACACGGAGAGGGTCACGGGGTGACACTGCAGGCACCTGGCTGTGGTTTGCCTGCAGGGAAGAGCCCTGATCGGCAGCGAGGGAACCACCTGGTTCTGCATGCCAGCTGGATGTTCGGAAAGCGAGCAGGATCCGTTCCAGCATGTGAAAATGTTTATGGCACCAAATGAGTCAAGCAAGGCCATATTCCGTGGCTTTCTGGGGGATGTTGATCCATGTCCAAACTATAGCTGCATTGTTGGCTTGCGTCCTACAACAGATGCTTTGTTTCTTGTGTTCTGATCCCAGTCTTTCATCTTCTACAGACAGGGAAAGGCCCCCCGGCCCCTCCGTGAGTGCATCACGAGACGGTTCGCCCCATAGCTCCGTATCAGCCACTAAGGTGAGTCGCACACACGCACAGCACCCAAACAGATGTGCTTACCAGAACACTCCCTTTCATCCGCTAAAATAATAATAAGTGTGACATGCCAGCAATTTCAGCTGATGGTGAAAAAAATGGAGATTTTTTCCTTCTTTTTAAAAAGCTGTTTGCTTGCGCTTTCCTCTCTCCCATATGATGGGTTTTAAAGGGTCCTGTTTGGCGTATGAAAGGCAAGCGGCCTGTGACGTGTTTATTCAGACTGTAAGCACGGTACTGACACAAAACTACACGGGTCGCTGAAGAAGAGTCATGGACATCATTGGGCCACCCAAGCCGCAGCAAGGCTAAAAAAAAGAGGGAGAAATCCATTAACTCAACTCTCGGCTTTATCACAAGATCTTATCGGAGGCTCAGAGCACTCTGGACATACTCTAGGGAGCACTGAGAGCCTAAAATAATTTGGGTTAGCTGTTTCTCTCATGTACTCTCTTCTTTTTCCTTTTTTTGTGTTTAGGTGAACCGAATCTGAGAATAATCATGGTGAACATACAAAAATATTTTGCTGATTTTTAAATAAAGAAAATAAAAAATAAAATAATTAATTTAATTTTACTCTCCTCTGTGAATATTTTAGTCTTTTATTTGTAATACAAACTAGTTCTTTCACTGATTCGCAAGACATTGGCTTTCCTTACTTAAAAAATAATTTATTTTTAAGTTTAGTTTATAGTTTTTGTTTTTTAATAATTTAATAATAGGTAATTGTGTGTGCATTTTAAGTGTCACAAATGTAATATGTCAGCTCTGTCACCCAAATTGTAAAGAAATTGTTCAGGATTTTTAATCGTTTTAAGTAGGTAGAATAAATACCAGAAAACACCAGAAAAATTAAACGGTGTATTGTAAATGTGTGATGTTCAAAAATATTTAAAAAATCTTTTTATATAAAATCTCTTTAAATATATTAAACGTTTTTTATAATAAATAAAATGTATCTATTATAAATTATAAAAGATTATTTGTATATTAACATTATATTTATATATAAATTGTTTTATAATAAAATCTTACCATTTATAATAAATATAAAGTTATTATGAACATATACATTTTAATATGTAAACTGATAGATATTTAACACATTATTTTTGTATTTGATGGTGACCCATATTAAGTGATAGGAAAGGAAAAACACATTTTGATGAAACAGAAGTGGGAGGTTGCACCCAAACATATACGATTACATGTACAAATCATTTTTTTAATATTTCAGTTTCGTTTTTTGTTTTGTCCCAGTACTCAATCAGTGTTTTGATTCAAGAATGCTTGAATCAAGCTTCAGTTTCAAGCCAACACAACATGAAATGCCTTACAGAACCTGTGTGAGTTTCTTTTGTTTGATCACTTAGATTCACCTCTGAACCATGTACAGATGAAAGTTGTTCTGGTTGGTGGACGTCTCGGTCCTTCAGCCTTTGATCTTCTTCCATAGCTGTTCATGGTGCATAAGCCATAACCTTGTGCCTTAGATGAAAAGGCTTTGCCAGTGTAAACTCGGCCTGATAGTCGGTCTCTTAAGTTCAACAAACACACTTGTTTTGGGGATTCATTCTTTGAAGAACAAAGAACAGATGATTTTGCTGCGGTGGGCTCAAATTTGTTTGTAATGCCTTTGCAGGTCGTCTTAAATATATTTATATCCCCACTTAGATCAAATGATTGTTATTAGTTTGAGTTTGGTTAATTAGTGTTGGGCAATTCATTTTTTTTTTTTAGACAAAAAGTATCCAAGTAGGTCCAAGTGGTAGATCTAAATAGACAGAGCCAACTTGTTAGACTTTTTTTTTCGGACTTGTTTCCATTCTGTCATGCAATGACGTTGTTCTGCATTGCCTCTTTTCCGTTTTGGAGAAAACAGGACTTTCCTGAATGTTGATTTCCAGCATTTGTTGGGGTGTTTTACTCTGAACATGTTTCTGGATTAATCTAGCCTTTAAAAGTGCCTTGTCCTGTGTACTGCAGGAGGACATGACAACGGTGGAAGGGCCCACAGATAAAGTTCCACCCACCGTAGATGAAGCTTCCTCTGTCATGGACGACTTTCAAGAGCGACGTGCTCAAGCTATTGCTGCCAAGGCTCGGGAAATTGAGAAGGTTTGAGAAATGCCAAAAATCGCTTTTGAGCTTTTCTTACCATAGTTCTGAGAGTGTGTTGCCTTTTATTTTAATGGCCACATACTTGTTTTAATGCCTCCTTTTCAGGATGCTGTATATTATTAATAGGGTTGCCAGAAAGAGTTTAACTATTTACATTTTAGGTTATTTAAAGTATATGCTCTCTGCCAAGATGAAACATAATAAAAAAAAGAAGAAAATTATACTTCTTTGGTGTAACAGTTTTGAAGAATTGTACTGGTCGGTCTTTTTCATTTAATTGGTCCCCATGTGTATGAGGCTTTCACGCTGCAAAATGGATGCAAAAGCACCATAAAGAATCAAAAGTGGTCCATGACACTATACTTCACAATACTTCAAGGAAGTTTCTGAAGCCATATGATAGCGCATGATAGAAACAAACTAAACTCGAAGTCATTATTTACTGAATTCTTCAGTAAACCGTTAAATGTTGTGAACTGATCATTGAGTCAGTGTTGAACTCAAGAACCAGATCAGTCCAACTCATGAATTAATGATTCAGATAAGTTTTGAGTGCTGAAAACAAAAGATTAAACATACAAGAACAATTCTTTGTCCAATCACATAAACTCTCATGTTTGAATCAAGGAGATCAATGGCTTTCTTGCTTGTACGCCATCATATGGTTTCAGAAGACATGGAAACTAGCTCAAGAGTCGTACAGACCATTTTTATGATGCTTTGACACTTAAAATATTCGAGTGTGTTATTATTAACTCAATTTTATTGCATGGAAAAGAGCAACTGGCGCATTATTCAAAATTCATACTTTTGTGTCCCACGACCCATTAGATGTATATTGTTTAAGTGTATATAAACCAAAAAACGTGCTGTATAGTGCATGCCAGCTAAATGTTTGTTGAAAAAAGGTAAAGTGCAGAGTGTAGAGATGGCTAGACCAGATTGAAGGAGAAGCTAAACATCTGGTGGACACTTAAACAGAAACAACACACACACTTTGTGAAATAACAGGCTTTGGCCTGAAAGGCATCCACACACTGTCACTGAAATATGTGCATTCAGGGCAAATCACGTCGACTTCCACTTCAAAAGAAGTGCAGAAAAAAATTAAATCCTGAGCAAATTACAGAAATGTAGATCTGTCAGTCATTTATGCAGGAAAAGATGCTTAAGTGATCGAGAATACAAAGAGCTATTCAAACACTAAAACTGATTCAAAGGGCTTCCTGTGAAGGAAAGCTTAGCCATACATAAAATCAGATTTGTTTTCGATATGTAAATAACTCAATAAAGCTCAAGGTTGGGTCAATAGCCGACAGTTAAAATTGTGCATCGTCAGCAGCTATTGAGCCAAAGGCTTGTATTCAATAGGAGGGCTGGCTCACCACTCCTGTGGGATCCCATCTTTCATTTAATAGGGCTAGTAAAGAAGAGGAGGAGAGAGCAGGAACTTTATTACGATCGTTCTGAACTTTTACAGAAAGCTGAGACAGTGGGTGTTTTACCTTTGTTTCTCCTTAGTAAATGTGATGATCAAAAAGGAAGGAAAAAGACAAAATACATGCAAGTGGAAGTACTCAGAAGTACTCAAAATGCTCTTTTAAATGATGTTGTTGAACATAATAAATGCTGTACTCTTTCAATGCTTTAAGCAAGTTCAGTTCAAGTCAAGCTCAGAGAGGAATCTAGTTGGCTCTTGATTGTTTTGTTTTGACCAGCAAGATGTTTATTTTAAAGATGAGCCCGTGTGATTCTAACGAAACTGAATTCCTTACTGTTAAAGTACTGCAAGTAGGGCATCTTTGTTGTGATAGTTCTGCAGTCCACGGTGAGGCTTAATCTGGGTCTGAAGCAAGGCTTTTGAGGTCCATCAGGGATGTTTGATTCCTCCGTTCTTTAATCGCGTTTGATGTTTCTGATCTGAAAATGTCAGATCAAATAAAATAATAGACTGATACACAGTTGCCCCTAAAGACCATTACCCTTACATGATGTTTTGCTATACTTAGGTTTTCTATGCTCTTGTTCCAGAACATAGGCATAAGATAGTATACTATATTAAGGTGAATATGCATCCTTAACAGTTATTTGGGATTGTATATCAGTGCTTTGTGGTTTTTAGTCCATATGCTTGGGGGCATCTATATGCTAATGTATGTACAGTAAATTTCTTGACAGTTCAATTCACAAGCTATTTCATTTGAGACGTTCATTGCATTTAACTAATGTTACTTTTACTCCATATTGCTGGGCGTACAGATGAATATATTGAAATTTCACACACCAAAACATTATACTCAAAGCTTTTATATAATACACCTAACTTTGGACTTACACAACTAGAACTGAACTTTCGCTGAACCACTCTGAAAGTTATTAGTGTATAGATACTTTCCCACTTTTCCCTCCTTGTCTTTCCCGCCCTTCCTGAATAATTCTCTGCTATCTTTACCCGGAATCAGGAATCAGCCTCCCACAGTACAAAAATGGCACATGAAAGGCTGAACAAGAACACACACACACTCTAGGTCCTGTTCAGCTTTCCTGTTTGATTGGGTAACAGAGGTGGGGTTCACAGGAAGTCTATGGAAGTAGAGCATGCTCTAGGAAATCGCTTCCCAGCATTCTTGGCATTGTTTTTTTTTGTAATATTATTTTTATTACATTTTCTTGAAACACAAGACTGACACATGTACATACCGTGTCTGTAACAATACTTACTATGTACAGAAAAGAAAAGAAAACAAACAAACAAACACTAGGGGCTCATATTACATAAAAAGTGTAAAGCACAAAACCAACAAAGGGTTAATACAATCTGTACTTTGGAAGTTAGATTTAATAATCCATTGCAACCAATAACAACTGCCGTTGTAAGGGGTTAATATAATGCACATTAAAATATATTTAAATACCCAATCAAGAATTTTGATCCTCTATTATATTGTTAATATCCCTACATTCAATAAATAATAAAAATGGACTCCAGATTTTCTTAAATTTAGCTTGTTTACCCTTAAGCATATAGGTTATCTTTTCCATTGCAATGCATGAAGATATTTCTCTTAACCGATGAGTTATGGTAGGCCTTTCTGTCTTTTTCCAATAAATGGCAATGAGCCTTTTGCCATGTAAAAATGCACATATCTATCAATACTTGATTATCCTTTTTAATATTCCAATTTTCTGGATGAATGCCAAGAATGAAAAACCCTGGATCTAATGGTAACCTTATTGAAACCATATGCTCTATCATATTTCTAATTTCTTTCCAAAACTCTTTTATTTTGTCACATTCCTACATACAGTGAATTAAGGTACCTTTTGCACTGTTACGTTTAAAACAAGTATCTGGTATGTTATTCTTGGCATTGTTAAGAATTATTTAATCTCTGTGTGGCTATGGTGGCTTTGTATGTTCAAGGATATCTCATAAAATGATAGCATAGCAATATGAATTAGAATCACAATTGATACTATTAAAATGTTTAATTTAATCATTTCAAAGCAGCAGAAAAAGTGTTGCAAATAGAATAAATTTGCTTTAAAAAATAGTGGTCTTTCAGAACTTCCTGTTAACCTCTGCTTCAGATCATCCCTGACTTTCTCTTGCAGGGCCAGGATCTGTAACTCATATCTGACTTAAGATTTTATGTCTGGCATACAATAAAACGGGCAAAAAAAAAAAAAAAGACTTTAATGACCTAAATATCCGAGAATATAAAGGTGTGATCACATTTACTGTTGCTCACTAAAATTTCACAGTTAAAATACAGTTAATTTAATAGGAAAATCGGTGCGATTTGGAATTCACCCATGCAGATTTCTCATTCAAGCTTTTCACGCAAACTCGCTACATCAGCAAACGGTGACTTCAGATTCAAGAGTGCATATTGACTGAACAATGGACCTTTTTGTCTGCCAAAATTTTCTGGAATTTTGCTGTGATTTCACCTTTAGGCACGAGCTCTATTGGCTTGGACCAGTAAACATCCACTTAAAAACCGTTCAAAACACCTTAGCAACCACATAGCATCCTGGAAACTTCACACAACTTAACATTGTGGCAGCAAGTTTTGCAAAAGCAAGCAGTGCTACCGCTGCCATATTACTACTAGTTTAAACTCTTATTTATTAAGTATATAGTACTGATCTAAATTTATAACTAACATTATTTTCAACCGGTTTTATTTAAAATAGCACGTAGGCTACAAGGCTCCAGCAACCAGGTTTATTTGCTGAGCGTTAATGCATTTTAAGCAGTCGCACAGATTGACTGTTTAACTGCGGTCTCTTAACCTGCAGCCTCAGGCTACTGAGTACTTCCTTTCTACATCATTTATCCATTCTATTCTGGAATGTTCTAATTGACTATTAGAGTCTTCTCATTGAACCTATTCGACTTAATGACTATTAGAGGCAGTTCTCACACAAGAACTCTGGGCTTTGTGTGTGGGCCTTGGTGATTCCTGGAACCAGGTGATCTCATTTTACTAGAACTTGACTCAGCCATGGGAAAGAGCCCTTATGTTAGAAGCTAATGAGGAGCTCACTGCAAAAATTATTAGTCAGCACAATTAGTTGGGTGGCCACATTTCTTTTCCAGACTTGTGGGGGCAGGTAGCAGGAACCATGGAAGATATGCATTGTCTTTTTTTGTTTAATTATGCCCTAAGTTTTCAGTTCCTGTTATATATTAAGTACTTCCAGATGTTGTTGTATGGTTATGTAATGTCAGGACCATTTTGGAAACTGGTGAGATGTTTAACCATCAGTTTCTTTCAGTTTTGGTTGGGTGCATTGTGTTGCTCTGTGCCATCGTTTAGTCGTGACAGTCTTAGTTTATCACTGTCTCCTGATGTAAATTGTAGAGTCAGTTTCAAGATATGATCTCCAGCTATAAGTTACATGTCCTGAGGGCTGTGTGTGAGTGAAGGTAATTGCAGAGGTTATGCAGACTCCCCTGGGTCTGAAGCATTGCTTTGATGTCCAGAAGTGTTTGATTATCCAACCACAGTAAACACAACTGAGCTCTGAGAGTTTTGGTTTAGGGCTTAGTTCTATCGTCTGGATGGCAGATCAGAAAGGCAGAATGTTCTCCCAAATACAAAACAAAACAGCTCTCCATCCCCATGTCTTCTGTGAACAGAAATAATTAGATTTATGATGCTTTCATGGTCTGTTCTATGAGATGGGTCTTGAGACTGTGTCGTGATTGACAACACAATGTATTTGCCAGAAAAGTAAAGCACAAGCAGAGTGTATTGTTTCCAATTAGATTAATGCGGCATCTTTGCTGCTTAAAAATGTAATGTTAAATGCAACTTTTCATTAATTTTTTTAGGCCAATGAAAATGTTAACAGGGTAAATACATATCTGAATGGTTTGCTCAGCAGAAGAAAAAAAATCTTATTGTGAGCTCCAGGATGAATTATCATCAAGAAATTGTTGTCTGAGCTTGTCAAGGCATGTGTTTTTATGTTGGTTAGAAAGCTAAATGGAAAAGAAAACCACATTTTACAGTGCCACATTTAACACACTTTAAGGAACCTTGTTTGATGAGGTCTAAGTAACTAGCCATGAAGAACATACACTGTTATGCAGTGATTGGGGATTGCCCATGACATTTGTGTGCACATTGTACATGTTGGACAATATTACTGCTTTATAATTTTAAACATTGGGCTGTTTTATAGGTCTATCGTCAGGACTGTGAGACGTTTGGCATGGTGGTGAAGATGCTGGTGGCCAAGGAACCCAGCTTAGAAAAGCCCCTGCAGAACCCACTGAAAGAGAACCTGATAGAGATCCGTGAGCGATGCCTTGATGACTTGAAAAATTTCATTGCTGAACTCGATGAGGTGGTACGTCAGCCTGAACCTGCTGTCTAAGGTGGCCCCATTTTACTCAACCAGCAGCCCCCCTCCCTTTGTACCTACACAAAAGTTTTTCATTGTTTTTTTATGGTTTATGTAAGGGCCAATGTACATGTGTACTGAGTGTCCACCTTCCTGGTCTGCAACGGGGCAAGGAAAATCTCTTTATGTATTTCATTTATGCAGTTCCGTTCATCCATTGACACTAGTCGATGCTAGGTTGTATAATCATTTTGTAACCTTTCAACATTAAGATAAATAAAAAAAATTAGATGGCAAACACAAGGAAAGCAGTGCCAGAAGAGGGTTTGCTCTATTCCTTATTAATTGCAGAAGCTATAGAGATTATTAACCCACTGAGGAGATTTACTAGATGATGGTGTTTGTTCTGATCAATTGTGTATAAGCTGAAAGGGTTCTATGTTGTTGCCAGTTAATTCACTTACATTCAAACCAGTGAGAACATTTGAAGAATGAATTATGGTAAGTAATCTTTATGGGTTCAGCAAATTGCTGCAATCTGTAGTACTGTTAAGCTGTGCAGCTGACAATAATGCATTTTGATCTTTTTTTTTTTTAAATCCCATTTTCCGGCCACTATATTGTGAAAACCCAACACAAGTATTTGTGTAGTTTTTCTTTTGTGTAGTATTAAAGAGTCTTGAACCTACTGCAATGCATGTTTTTTCCTTTTGATTTAAACCCCTTTTGTGATTTCATGTTTGTAATTAAATAAAGTTGATACGTTTAGTAATCATATTTTTTAATTTTCTCAGTCTATGAACAAATGTGAAAAATCAAGGTGCAATGGAATGTATTAAATCGCTCTTGAATTATTTTATTGACATCTTAATGTTAAAAAGGTATAGTATGTTACCTGTGGTGAAATGTATATAATAGAGAGAAGATTCCCCCAACACTGTTTAAGCGCATAAGCATATTGTAGACAGAAAAATGTTTAAAGGTGCAGTTTTTACACCTGCAGAGTAACATAACGAGGCCATTAAGCATATGAATAGTGCATATATATTTTGCATTTGCAAACCCCTGGTCAATAAAATGGCAAACCTCAATTTTGTTGATCAATAATTATAACAACATCTGAGGCCAGGAATCATAATTAATCATTTAACATATTTGGATATAAAAATATCAGTATTCCAATCTTAATTTAACAAATATACATTGCTTGCACTATTAAATAACGATTTAGTTAGTCTACATGCTACTCAAGAAAATTAGCTTTTTTGCGAATAATGGTTTTGCTATACAATGTACAAGGAAATATTACATGTTACTTTCATTGTTCAGACCAACAGCAACACAACTGACACTCTGTACTTGTAAAGAAAACTTAAATCTCGAGGAAAAACAAGTTTTGTTTTCCAGCTTCTTTAGAATCACGCGCGTGTATGTTCCAGCTGCAGCAGATGCAGGCTTTCAGTCTAAAGTCTTAAGAAATTATGCAGTTCTTGCCCTTATGACCTTTCTTTTTCAGTTTGGTCCGTGAACCGAAAGGAGGTGTTAAAGCAGTGACGCGAGTCGGATAGTCGTCTGTGTAATAATGAAAACTTTGAGATCGGGGTTTGGGAATTGGCTGACCAAGAAAGAATCCCTCCTCCTCAGACTCTGAAGATGAAGAGGAGCATGTTGAACAACAGTCATCATCATCGTCATCATCGTCACAAAGGTTTTGGAAGTGGTCCATTCGGACCATGCCCTGCTGAGCAAAGTCTGATGGGGTTTGATGATAAGAGTGCTGACTGTGTGCCGAGTGATTTAAAAGAATACCGTTCCTGGGCTCTGGTATGCTTGAGCTGATTATCTGAGGCACAACATGCAATTTACCCCGATTTTTGGAAGGCAGGTGCAAGGTATTTTCTGAACGTGTTTTCCGGCCCTGTCTGCGTTTGTGATGTCTGTTAGCAGGATGTCTCTGTGGCTCCTCCTCTATGTGATGGGTCCGTCTGCGAGTCCTCTCGCTCATGGGTGGTTGCCTCAAGCCTAATCCGCCATAATATCCTTTATCCATAACCTCGTCGGAGAACTTCACTTGCTGAGGTCTGGATTGGGGCTGAGACTGAGACTTGGTCCTTCTCAGCACTGGAAGATGCAGTGGAGAGGGTGGTTCTTCTCCAAAATAAGGTGGAATTCTGTCCTCTTCTTCCTCGTCTTCTCTCCCTCCTTGCCTCAGTGTCTCCTCACGGTCCAGCTCAGAGGTTAAACTCCTCAGGGAATTAACACTTCTGTGGAGCATTGAGGAGTTTAGTGTGCCCATGTTACTAATGTTATCACACTCATCCAACTCTCTCTCTTGGTCTTTCATGTTTTGGAGGGAGTAGATGGTCTGTCTGTCTTTGCTGTCTCCATCCACCGAAGCTCCTGAGAAATGGAAGACATGTTATGAGTCATTAAGATTAATTTAAGGAGCAAGACTCTGATATAAGCTGTTTGAAAAGGACATTCCTACCTGTAATATTTGAGAGAGCTAGAGAATCCATTGAATCTCCAATGTTGAGTTCTGCCTTCTGGAATTCACTTGTAATGCACTCCAATGAGTCTTCATACCATTGCCTAGGCTCAGACCAGAATCCAGGTACTGCTCCCTGATCCATCTCCAGCTCTTGAATCTTTCTAGCACTAGCTGGACCAGGGTGACTACCATAGGCAGAGTCTCCAAGTCCATCCTGAGACTGGGCCCAATACATTTCTGTGTGGTGCTTCTTACTTGCCAAATTATGGCTGCTGATCTTAATTTCTGGTTTGGTCCTGTTGGTCTCAGAGTCTTTCATCATCCATGGCTCGGCTGGCCTGGTGTCCTCCGTGTGAATGACACCACGGTCTCCAAATTTCAATAGCAGCTGGGTCATGTAGTCTTCATGCTCAGCCCAATCTTCCACACAGTCCTCAGGGCCTTCCTGCTCATCACGGTCTCTCCAGTAGTTGTCCTCTGCAAAGTTGATTCTCTCCAGTTGATGACACATAGTCTCCGTGTTGTCACCACAGAGACTGGAGGTCCTGTAATCTGTTGCTGAATAGAGTTTTGTCTGCTGGCACTGCTCTGTAGGGCGACTACTCTTGCCCATTCTTATGCTACGTCGAGATTCCCGTGATCTGGCAGACTGAAAAGCTGAGTCTGAAGAGTCAGAAGCATGGATGTCCTCACCTAGGCTACAGTCCTTAGAGCAGTAGATCCGGCCCTCTTTTGGAAGGAAGGGGCAGCCCAGCAGGGATGTTTTGCATTGGGCACAACAGAAGCATTTGTCAGTAGCATGCCAGTGTACACCCTCATATGTCATTTGAGCATGGTCGATTCCTGAATAAAGGTAAATCAAGTAAGAAATGCTGTACTTTTTCAACCAGATATTCATACAGGTAACAGAGTTGGCCAGTCCTGCTCCTGGAGGACCACCTTCCTGTAGAGGTTCGCTTTAACCCTAATTAATCAGCCATTTACGGTATTCAGGATTACTCAATACCTTCTAGCAGGTATGTTGGACCAGGTTGGAGCTAAAGTCTGCAAATTGGTGGACCTCCAGGAGCAGGAATAGTCATCCCTGCCATACAGTTTTTAATTGTTCCAAAGGTAACTCACCAATATTTTCCCCACAGGCCTCACAGTACTCTACATATAGTGACTCGAAGCATCCACAGCAGAAGGGACGGCCATCCTTCATGATGTACCTCTGTCCTCCTAGAATAGTCTCGCACTCAAAGCAAGAGAAGTGTTTCATGTGCCAGTGACGACCTTCAGCTTCAGTGCACTCATCAGCAAAGATTATCTATGAAGAGACACAAAATAAAAAATTTGTATTGGCTATGTACATTTAGTTTCTTTGTATATCGGTCCTTTAGAAAATTATATATATCCTCACCTCATCACAAGCTGAACACCGTGGCTTCAGAAGCTCTGCATGGTGTCTACCGCAGTAGATTTTGCCATTGTGGTAGAAATAGATGAGATCTACCAGAAGTTCTTGACAGGTGGAGCAAGTAAAGCATGCTGGGTGCCAGCAAGGTCCAGGGCCCGCTCGTGAAGCAAACACTGCCATCTCTCCACCCTTAATGTTCTCTTTACACTGCAATTCAAAAAAAGATTTTATGAGAATTAAAGGCTGGCGTATGGCTGCTCTGGCCATACAAAGTCATCCTACAATGTACTGGGCTTTATTCTACATTCTTCTTTGAAAAAAAGACATTAAGTTTTAATTAAAAATAGTCCCCCATCTCTGTTGAAATGGTCTTCTAAAGACCAACTGAGCATGACCAAATGCATAATCATGGTCTTTTTATAAGTACTTTTGCCAAAGTATTCATTTCACAGCTGCTTCCCATTATTACTACATGGCCGTTGGCCTTGGAAACAGGGGTGTTGAGTGTCCCGCAAATTTTTTTCGGCAACGGAAACCAGAGACCTGAGATTAGCACTGCTCTGCAGTGTCTTGTGTGGCAATTTGTGGTGAAGGGATACATCTGTTTTCGGAGGTATTATGATGCTAGACTTTTTTGGTTTGTGTTTATAAGTCTTCTCAACAGGAAACAACCCTCTGAACTGGCTCTCATGTGCTAACTCCAGCCCCTGAAGGAGATGGTCTTCAGCCAAAGATTGTGTGTTGTAATCCTTAATGTTTTCCATGATTTTTCTCTGTGCTTTGGTTGTCTTTAGGCCGTAATTGGACCATTTGCCTGATTCCAAGTTGTCTGATTTGCCATGACAAGTCAACACTGTTTCCAAGTGAATGTAGCATGAAGCAGAAACTGCATTTTCATTTTCAAGTAGATTTGATATGGCTAGAATTAATGGTCACAGGAACAACTATATATCTTCCTTCAAGTGTAGCAGTTGGTTGAATGAGTATACATTAAAGACATTCACAAAATAACCTTTAGGAGTTTTAATGTGGTCTCTTCCATGTCTTCCTATCTTTAATTTTGATATTTGCAAGTTTAAATTTTTACAGATGGTGGGAAAAATACCAGGAACGTTTATGCATACATGCTCGCAAACGTGCTGCAGGGCTCTGGGAAGCAGTTTTGGTGTTCCCCTCCCAAGTGCCTCTTTCTTCCTCTGAATGCTGAACATGTGGAGTTCTCGTCTCTCCTCATCACTGAGGGACTGGCAGTATCGGATCTGTGTTGAAGCAAAGGTAAAAAAGATGTGTTTAAATGAAGAACAGATTAATAGCTGATATAAGTTCTATCAAAGGCTTCAACCTCTTTTTAAGGGGTGGGAAAAGTTTGCATTTGATGCCAAAGTCGTGAGTTTCTTTTCTGGAGCTAAGTTAAAAAGTACACAAATTGACCTCAAAGTTTACAACCGACTTGTGGAACTCATACAAGATGACAAAAGACAAACAATTTGCTCCGTTTGGCCCTGCGGAGCGGGGGCGTTGGGTAAACAATGATGCCACACGTGAGGAGCCTTTTAGATCTGTAACCCAGAGTTATGCCAGGAATTTGCTAAAGTACACAGTACTAGGACTTACAGCAAGCACCATAAAAATCACAGAGGAACATTTTATTGCTGCTAGAGGAAAGGCTAAAGATACCCCTTTGTGATAGTACTAAAACATCTTTGTATGCCAACCCGAGAGGGATTTGTATGCACTTCTATCTATGCGATCTTAAAGTCCTCTAGTAAAACCGTTGTGTATTCCAGCAGTCATCTCT